CTGAATCTCTGCAATAAAGCTGACTTGATCATGGTGGATGATCTTTTTGATGCATGTCTGTATGTGGTTTGCAAGTATTTTGTTGAAATTTTTGCATCTATGTTTGTTAAGGATATAGGTCTATAGTTTTCTTTTTTGGTTGTATCTTTACCTGGTTTTGGTATTAGAGGGATGCTGGCTTCATAGAAGGAATTTGGAAGTTCTCCCTCCATTTCTATCTTATTGAATAAATTATATAGTATTGGATATGGTTCTTCTTTAAATGGCTGTTAGAATTCTGCTGTAAATCCATCTGGTCTTGGGCTTTGTTTAGTAGGGAAGTTTGTATTGCTCTTTCAATTTCCTTATGTGTTATGGGTCTGTTTAAGCTGTTGATAGTTTTCGTGGTTCCCATGCTTTTAGATACCTATCCATTTCTTTTAAGCTTTCAGATTTAGTAACGTATAGGTTTTTAATGTATCCCCTTATAAGGTTCTGGATCTTTTTGGTGTCTGTTGTGATGTTTCCCCGTTTGTCTCTAATTTTATTGATTTGGAGGTGCTCTTTCTTTCTTTTGGTTAATTGGGCCAGTGGTCTGTCAATCTTATTTATCTTTTCAAAGAACCAGCTCTTGGATTCATTGATTCTTTGTATTGTTTCCTTTGTTTCTATTACATTAATTTCTGCTCTGATTATTGTTATTTCTTCTTGTCTGCTGGGTTTGGTTTTCATCTGTTGTTGCTTTTTAAGTGTCTTGAGTTGCAACTTTAAGTCATTTATATGTTTTCTTTCTGTTTTTTTTAATGTAGGCACTGAGAGCTATAAGCTTCCCTCTAAGGACTACTTTTAATGTGTCCCAGAGGTTTTGTTGTGTTGTATAGTCCTTTTCATTTAGTTCCAGGAATACTTTTATTTCTTTATTAATTTCTCCCTTGACCCATTCATCATTCAGGAGTGTGTTGTTTAATCTCCATGTGTTCATGTAGTTACTAGGGTTTCCTTTGGTGTTGATTTTGAGCTTTATTGAATTGTAGTCCGATAGAATGCATGGAATTATTTCAATGTTTTTGTATTTGTTGAGGCTTGTTTTGTGCCTCAGTATGTGGTCAGTTTTGGAGACAAGATACATGGGGCACTGAGTAGAAAGTATATACTTTGGCGCTTGGGTTGAATATTCGATATATGTCTATTAGGCCCACTTGATGTTTGGTATTGCTCAATTCAGATGTCTCTCTGTTAATTCTCTGTCCTGTTGACCTATCTAATGGTGACAATGGGGTATTGAAGTCCTCTACTATTAATGAGTTGGGATTAATCTGGGTCTTAAAGTTCTGTAGTACTGTTTTTATGATGTTGAGTGCACCAGAGTTTGGTGAATATTGTAATATCTTCTTGTTCTATTGTTCCTTTGATCAGAATGAGGTGATCCTCTTTTTCTTTTCTGATTAGTTTTAGTTTGAAGTCTATTTTGTCAGATATTAGAATTGCAACTCCTTCTTTTTTCTTAGTACCATTTGATTGGAATATTTTTTCCATCCTTTCACCCTAAGGTAGTGCCTGTCCTTGAAAGTGAGATTGGTTTCTTGCAGACAACAAAAAGATCGGTTTTGTTTCTTAATCCATTCACCTCATCTGTGTCTTTAGACTGGGGAATTCAGTCCATTGATATTTAAAGTTATTAATGAAAGATTGATTGTATCAATTCCTTTCATTTTGATTTCTGTTCACATTCTTGGTGTAGCTGTGCATTTCTAGTTACACCTTCAGTAAGTTTCTTTTTGCTACCCCTTGGGTATAGTCTTTCCTTTCTTCAGCTCTTTGTATTGCTTCAAGAACTCTCTGAAGGGCTGGTTTTGTGGACATGAATTCTTTCAGCCTTTTGATGTCATGGAAGATTTTTCCCTCTTCAACTATAATAGACATTTTGGCTGGGTCTAGTAATCTGAGTTGACATCTGTGGTCATTTAGAACTGGGAATACTTTGGTCCTGGCTCTTCTGGCTTTCATAGTTTGTACTGAAAAGTCAGCTGTAATTCTCTCTTTGTTCTGTACATTTAGTGTTTTTACTAAGATGTGCTGTGGAGAATTTCTTTTCTGGTCCTGTCTATTTGGTGTTCTATGTGCTTCTTGTTTTTGTATGGACATGTCTTTCTTTAATTTTGGGAAATTTTCTTCTACAGTCTTGTTGAAGATCTGGTCCATACCATTATCCTGAGATTCTTCTCCTTCCTGTATGCCTATGATATATAAGTTTGGTCTTTTTACGGTGTCACACAATTCTTGCATATTCCATTCTCATGTCTTCTTATATTTTTAATAATCTTTGCTTGAGTGATCTAATTTGTCCACTTTATCTTCCAGTCTTGATATTCTGTTTTCCATTTCATTCATCCTATTGGTGAGGCTTTCTCCTGTCATTTCTAATTGGCTTACTGAATGTTTTACTTCCTTCTTCATTTCAGCCTGAGTATTCTTCAATATTTCTCTTTTCTGAATTCATTCAGAAGTTTGTCCCTATTGTCTGTCAGTTCTTTGGTTTCTTTGATTTCTTTAAATTCACTGAATTCTTTTATCATGTTTATAATTGTTCTTTTGAATTCCATGTCCTGTGTTATCTCTAGGGGATTCTCATTGTATGCCTCTACAGGACTGTTGATACTTGGTGGGGAAATATTATTTGGGTTTTTCATGTTATTATTTTTTCACTGTTGCTTTGACAAGTGGATTTCTTTTGTAGTTTCTGATTCTTGTGTGAGACTCAAGCCTTCCTTTGTTGAGTTTAGGTCTGCTTCTTTTTATAAACTTTATGTGCCTTTGTGGTTTACTTGTTGAGCATGAAGAGCTGTTCTAGGCTTCAGGTTCTGTCCTCATTTTATATTAGAGGGGCCAGATGACCTTCGTCCTGCTGCTCAGTAGTTCCCACAGAGGCCCAAGTGGGATGAGGATCAGACACTCTCAGGCTTTCTCCTAAGTTCTGGATACTCTAGGAAAGATGCTGACCTCAAGAACTTGGGAGCTAGGCTGGGCTGGGACCGGGGCGTGTCTCAGGCATGCAAATGCGAGAGGGGGAGGGAACAGGCCCCCAGGGCTCCCGGGATCCTGGACCAAGAGGGCAGTCCAGAGGTCTGGGGTGCCAAGAGAAGAAATGAGCCAGTGCCCATGCTAGGATGGGAGATGGGATCGGGGAACTGGGAGGGTGAACGAACGGGAGTCAAGGCGCAGTGGGCATGCAACCGAACTTACCCAGGAAAGAAGCTGGTCCTTTGAATGAAGAAATCTTAACACAGAATATTAAGAATTATGGAATGTTAAAAGTTATATTTGAGCAGAGCTAAAAGATGTTAGGAAAAGGGCTATACTTACTGATAGTAGACACACATGTTGTGGAAAGGAAATGCAGAGTGTTGGTGGGGTGTTTTGTATCTAGTGTTCAGAGGATGGCCTACAGATCTATGTCACAAATTTGGGAGCCATCAACATTGTGTGGGGTTGGGCCTAGGAGAGTAGGTAAGGTCACCAAATGAGTGCTGTGCATGGGACAGAAGAAAGGACAGAGAAGGTAGCCAAAGACTATGGCACTACAGAGGCCTCCCATTTTGATGTTGGGAAGAGGATTGCACTGTGTGACTGAGGAGGAAAAATGTTGCAAAGATTCCATAAACTGAAAACAAAATAAAACACTGTTAATATTTTGGACTATCCTTACTGTTTCAACGAATGCTAGGTGCATTCACATACTAGCTGATAGAGACCTGCACTTTTATTGTTAACATTTTGTTGCTTTACCTAAGACCTAAAGTCCTACTTATAAAGGTTGTTGTTTTACAATGTTTTGGCTTGATGTTTTCTTGATCAGAATGGTGCAGCATAGTCAAATTTTCTTTTTTGGGAGGAGGAATATCCTTTTTACACAAAAATTTATGATAGCAATTTTCAAAGTTCAGGTGTATAGCACTTGTAATTTTTACTGTTTTTTTTTTTACATTTACATTTAAAATAAAAATATTTTATTTCTTATTTTTGTTTTGTGCATCTGAGTGTATTGCTTGCATGTACATAAGTGCACCTGTTTTGTGCAGTGCCCATGGAGGTCAGAAGAGGGCCTGGATCTCCTGGAACTGGAGTTACAGACAGTTGTTAGCCTCCATATGGGTGCTGGAAACTGAACCCAGGTCCTCTGCAAGAGCAGCCAGGGCTCTTACCTGCTGAGTCATCTCTCTAGCCCCTTTACTATTCTTTTTAATGTGATTTTACTACATGTAAACAGTGTAAGTTTCCCGTCACCACACAGGCACACCAACTTGAGTGTACTAAGAGAACCCATAGGACTCACTAGGTCCATCTTTTCCACCCTGGTGTTCCTCTCAAAAGGTCTGGTGGGGGGCGGCTGAGGTTTTGATTTCCATCTATTTTCCAGCTGCTGCTGCCATAATCATTAGTCAAACTTTGTTTTACAGCAGCACTGGCTCTGTAGTCTTCCCTTAGTCATTGAAGAGCTGAAAAACCATTCTAGTAACATTGTTCCAGTGATTTAAAAGAGAAGTAGAACATCAGTGTTTCTCGTTCAGTGTTATCCTTATTAAATGTGAAAGAATAACAACAAAGTTCTTTGTGGAGTTTTGTTTTTAATAGTTTTGATAGATTTCTAAGTCCTTGCTTTAGAAATGTTCTAATTTGTGTATACCTTTTCTTCCAAGGTTGAAGAATGACAGAGCCTTGCGCCTCAACCTTATTGGTAAGTATGTTTGCTTACCTGAAATTCTGGCTAAAGGATAGTGAGTTTTTGCTCTGAACTAGTTTCTCATTTTATTCTATTTTTCATCAAAGTCAGTTTTTTTTGCCAGACTTAATTAAGAGAAAGCCGTTGAAGTGGAGCAAAGCATTCCACTGTTAGAAAACCCTGCTCACAGCTCCTGTACTTCAGCTTTTCAGAAACTTTGTTCTCCATACATCTTTCCGCCTATCTGCCAAGCTGGCTGAGTTCTGTCATCTCAATAATTAAGATCATAAAGGACCTGGCATCTTAGTCAGCCTTGTGGAGTACGAATCTGACATAATTGACTTATAAAGAGAAAAAGTTTTATTTTGGCTTATACATTTAATAGTTTCAGGCCATGGTCGGCTGACCATGTTGCTTTGGGGCCCATAACAAAGCAGGATGTAATGGCAGGGAGAGTGGGTAGAACAAGCTGCTTACTGTGAAGTGGGCAGGGAGCAAAGAGACAGATGGGAATGGTCTGAAGTTTCACTATCCCCTCCCTGGGCCCTTCCCCAGTGATCACCTACCTCTAGGACCACCTCTTGAAGGTTTCATCATCTTCCAGGCATACTAGGGCCTGGAGAACAAGCATTTAACACCTGCCTTCATGTGAAATTTGAGAGCCAAGCTATATTGGTGGGTTAAATATCATGGAACATACAGTTCTCAGTGAATAATGTGAATACACATATGTTCAGTCTTTGTCAGGTATAGTCTCACCCCCACACACTGTCTCTCTGTCTTTGTCTGTGTATGATTTATTATTAATATGTTTTTGCTGAGAAGTCCATGATCTCTCTTTGCATGGCATCTGGCAGCTCTTTAAAGCTTAATGTAAATTTAGTAATGTTGTGGCTCTGTACAGGTTAGTTAACCTATTCATAAATGGAACTAGTGTTAATCCCCCGAAAATTATAAAGCTCTGGACATAGTGCTTACAGTTTAAGTGTTTAGTTAACAAATATGATATTCATCACTAATCAAGTTCTAAATTTTATTTTAGGCAGGTTGTGCCTTTTGCTTTTGAAGAACTTAGAATTTTGTATTCTGTTAATCCAACCCTCCCTACTTCCATGATATTAGATAAGAATGTGTGAGAGAGGAATAATGGCTCAGTGGATAAGAGCATGGCCTACTGTTGGGGAGGGTCAGTTCAGTTCCCAGCATGATATCAAGTGGCTCACAGCTGCCTGTAACTTCAGCCCTGTTGCATTCAACAGTCTCTTTTGGCCTCTGTGGGCACTGCACTCACATATACCCACACTCAGATACACATAATCATGTAATTAAATATAAAAATTATTTCTTAAAAAGAAACTGTATATAGGCAAGCATCATTCCCATCTTTCATCTTTTTCTCTAATTAAAATGTAGCAATTTCATTTCTCAGAGACTGGATTCACTAACTTTGAGCCTACACATAACTTTATCAACATTGAAATAATTTTGGTTTGTTTTTAACACTTTATGTGGACAATTGTAAAAATCTCTTTGCGTAAACGATGGCTTACGGTACTAAACTTTCTTGGTACTTATTTATAGGTGAAAAACTTCAGTGGTTTCACAATCATCTGGATACAAAAAAAATGAGATATTCAAGGAAAGATGCTTGTGAATTAGTTGAAAGGTAAATACTGGGCATATTGTGAACAAAGGATTTTAAGAGACAGAATTCTGCTCTGGATTTGCAGAACAGCAAATGGGTTTTGTTAGCAGAAGTCCTTGGATTTGGATCCCAGCTTGGCCCCTTTTCTGGGTTTTTAGTCTTTCTGGGCCATGGATTAGTTAACCCAGTTTTCTGGGATCAGAGACAGTTTCCTGGAGAAACGTATCTGCACCGGATCCTTGTAGGTAGGCATTGGCAGATGGACATAAGGTAGCCTGAAGAATGTCTAGCCTGAGAGAACAGTGTCTAAAAGGCCCAGGGGTGAGGGAGAGGCTGACACATGGAATAGCCCATCAGGTACTTAATGTGACTGGGGTAGCAAGTTTAAGAAGGTTAGTGGCGGGTGCTTTTGACAGCTGGCTTCAGAATGACCTGGGTTGTCAATCTGAGTTGGGAGTTCTGGGAAGCTTTTGCAGGAAATACCTGAGATCATCATGTGACTTCATGTCACTGTCCAAGAATGAGGAAAATTCTGAGAAGAGGACATGGCATTGCTGGGAGATTTGTTAAGAGACTGATGGAGAGATGGCTCGGCGGTTAAGAGCGCTGATTGCTCTTGCAGAGGAACCAGGTTCGATTTCCAGCATCCATATGGTGGCCAACAACCGTCTGTAACTCTGGTTCCAGGGGATCCGAAGCCCTCTTCTGTCCTCCCCAGGCATTGCACAAAACAGGTGCACTTAACACATGCAGGCAATATATTCGCACACATAAAATAAAAATAATAAAATACTTTTTAAAATAAATAATGAAAAAGAGCCTGAGGGAACAGCCAGGATTGATGCTGCTGG